CCTTTCTGGTGAAGGTTTGTCACCATCTTGTCTCCATGGAGATTAATATTCCACATCATGTATTTTCGTGGAGACAAGCAGGAGAAACCAACCAGCAAAGTTACAGGTCACAGTAAAAACATTATATATTAAATTATCATGTATTATTCAGATATAAAAACACTCTGAATAGAGATTAGATTAGAGATTAGTTAGTAGATTAGTTTAACGCCATACTGTGGAACATGGTGAGCAAAGCAATAACATCTGCATAGAAACAAGCAGGTGACACTCCACCAGAAATGTTACATAGTGCACCTTTAACCATTGCTACTACATATCGCAACTTTAAGATTACGTTCTATCTCAGTAAATTATGTAAGTATTGAGGCACAGTATTGGAACATTTTGTGATATGGCTGTTAAGAACTGTGATATTGATATTACTGCAATAATTTAGTATAATTTTACACTCAATAACTTCAGTTATAATAAAATAAAAAGTACATGCTTTAATTTACTACTGAAACTCAATATATAAATATTTAACACAGAAAAACTGAGACTAAATCAAGGCTAATTTTGGACTTAATACAGAAAATCAATAATAAAATCAGCTTTTCTTAACCTATTATTTTTAACAAACATTGCAGTGCCTTGGTGTCATTCTGATATATATGTGTGTGCTTGTGTATATGTGTATACATAAGCAGGGGCAGACTATGTCACTTTGCGCACCACTGCGCATGTCTCCTGCAGAAAGAGGATTTCAGCAGATTTCAGGCTCTCCTGGGGGTGGGACTAGTTGTATCAATCAGGTATTGATGTCCAGCTTCTGAAGTTTGAGACATTTCTTCTCTTCCTTTACATATTCATATGGGTCATTAAAACTCACTGAGATTAACACTCACTAATGTTAGTTTAGCATTCTATCTTATTTTATCACATGGCGATAAACTGTTTCAGTGCTGACACCAGCACTAGCTAATGTTGTGACATCACGTTAACCGCAGCCGACAGCGAAGCTCAGGGGTATATGAGTGTTTATGTGTGTGTGTGTACATAAGGTGGGGTATATGTGTGTGTGCATATGTATATGTGTAGAGGTGTGTGTACATATAACAGAGGTATATGTGTGTACGTGTGTGTGTGTGTGCGTGTGTGTGTACATAAGATGCGGTATATGTGTGTGTGTGTATGTGTGTGTGTGTGTATGTGTGTACATAAGCTGGGGTATATGTGTTGGTGCGGGGGAGTTCCTGCGGTGCGCCCTGTTCACTCTTTGTTGCATTTATCGTGGTCTCGCTTTGGCCCGAGGAGCAGCGTGGGTGTATGGCATTTTCAAACTGATGTCAAAGACCTTCAAGTGTGCTAAGATCGTGTCGTGTAAGAAAAGGAGGGATGGGGAGAGAAGGACAGAGAGTAAGGAATAGAGAGAGGAGAGAGAGGAGAAAAATAAATAGGTAAGATAGAGAATGGGTTAGAAAGAAAAATACAGAGGAGCGGAAAAGAGCAGAGAGAGAGAAAGAGACAAAATGAATGAGAAGAGAGGGAGAAGAGGAGAAAAGAAGGGACAGTATTTGTGAGATAAATAAAAGCATAAACAGAGGAAATATAGGGAGACGGAAGAGAGAGGGAGGTAGAATGAAAGAAGAAGGAGACAATAATGGAGAGAAAGCTAGAGCAAAAAGAAGAGTGAGAAGAGAAGAAGAGACAAAAAGAGGGTGACTGAGAGACAAATTGCAGATCAATAGAGGTAAGAGAGAGACAAAGAGCGAGAGACTGAGGGGGAATGAGCAAATGAGAGAAAGAATGAAAGGAACAGAAAAAGACGATGAGAAAAAAGGGGGTAATGAAGTAAAGGAGAAGATAAAATAAAAAAGAGATAAGAGGAAAACAATGGTAGTGAGAGTGAGGGAGAATCAGAAAAGACAAAAATACAGAGAATAGAACGAGAAAAACAGAGAGGGAGAGATAGAGACAGACAAGAGGGAGGAACTGAGGGGAAGAAAACAGAAAAGGAAAGATGAGAAAAAAGAGGGTAATGAAATAAAGGAGAAGATAAAATACTAGTAAGAGAGAGAAGAGAGAAAAACAATGTGTGTGTGAGAGGAAGAGAGAGAAACAGACAGAGAGGGAGGAAGAATGAGAGGAGAGACAGAAAGAGAAAAATAGACAGAGCAGAAAAAGAAAAAACAGAGAGAGGGAGAGAGAAAGGGAGGAAACTGAGTAAATGAGAAGAGGAAATACGAGAGAGATAAAAGCGAAAGGATGGGGAGAGAGAGAGAGAGAGAGAGAGAGAGGGAAAGAAAAAAACAGATTGATAGAGCAGACAGAAAGAGGGAGGAAGAATGAGAGGAGAGATATAAAGACAAAAATAGACTGAATAGGAAGAGAAAAACAAAAAGAGAGTTGGTGATAGCGCAGTACACGACCAAGAAAGAGTGTGTGGCATTATGGTTTTGGAATGAGACATTAATTTTGACATGACAAAAGAGAGAGGAGGAGAAAAGGGAGGAAGAGAGAAAAGGGAGAAATAAAGGGATGAGACATAGGAAACGAGAGATAGATAGAGAAGACAGAGAGATACTTTGGGAAATATTATAAATGGAGAGAGATGGAGAAAGAAGGACAGAGAGAGAGAAAAAGAGAGAAGACGGCGAACAGAGAGAGGGAGAAAGAATGATAAGCGAGACAGAAAGACAAAAATAGACTGAATAAAAAAGAGAAAAACAGAGGGAGGGAGGTAGAGAGAGTGGGGGGAAAAGTGCAGTACACGACCAAGAGTGTGTGACATTATGGTTTTGGAATAAGACATTTTTCAAAACATGACAACGGAGAAAACAGTAGAGGGAATCGCAACAGCACACAGCATCCATCTACTGCTCTGTGCAATGTGCCTTTAATGATGCTTTAGTTTTTGATTTATAATGCACAGTTTTCTTGCACACTACAGTAACAGAACATATCCTAATTGAGTTCACTACTTGTTAAAAAGGATAAAAATACCATGTCTGGATTTTAAAGGTGCACTATGTAACTTTTTGGTTGGGTGGATATGTCACTGCTGCTCTGGTTCGTTCCACAGTGACATTAAACAGCTCTACCTTACGTTTATTCAATTACAGGTGGTTTTAGAGCTCAAAAATACCTAGAAAAACCATGAACGGAGGTGCCTCTCCACAGATCTGACTTGTGACTTGGTCTGGTTTGTTTTCTATGAAGATAGAAAGGTTTAATACCATACTGTGAAATATTCCAGACAAAGTAATAACATGGAGAAAAGAATTTGACAGAACCTACACAAAAAAAGTTACACAATGCACCAAAATAACATGTTTTGAGTAAGGCGAAATGATTTCGGAAAGTACTGCGATTGCCACTAGACTTGCAATTTGTGTTTTAACAATAGGATTCTGTTCTAAGTTTAAAACGCAACCAGAAGAACTGACAAAAAGACTGAAATATGAACCCATAAACAAATACAAGAATCACATTTCAGAACATGTTTGTACAGATCTAAACTACAGGGTTAGACGAGATATGTTGTTATTTGTGGAGAATACTTAAAACTAAAAATAAAAAAAAACTTTTAAATATTGCAGCCTTGCTACCTTTGTGATTTGTTGATTCAAATTGCGATTTTGATTCTATTTTGATCTTGTATCCCTAGATTAGTGGATTCAGATTTCCAACATGCTCCAATCTTTTAGTTTTTTACTTGTGTCCTTAGGCAAGGCACTTCACCCACATTGCCTAGTATGAATGTGGCCCATGTTTGAGTGTTGGTAGTGGTCAGAGGGACCGATGGCACAGATTGGAAGCCTCTCTTTTGTCAATCTGCCCCAAGTCATCTGTGGTTACAATAGTAGCTTACCACCACTGAGTTTGGAGTGAATGAATGATTAATGCTCTGTAAAATGTCTTTGAGTGTCTAAAAAAGCACTATATTAAATCTGATCCTTTTCTTTTTTTCAATATGTTCTAAATTCAAGCAAAAGTATTCATCAATCAGAGAGGTGTGTGCAATTAATAAAAAATTTAATCCAATCAATCCCAAATAGTGCCAATTCTCAGCAGTTCTACTTTTGTGGATTGCAGAGGAAATTAAATTGTAGCTTTTGTGATTTGCTAATTGCTAATTTCTATCAGATTTCGATTAATCGTAGAGCCCCAGTCTTGACATAAGTTTCTGATTGTTTCTGTGTATCGACGTTGGACAGTTCAATTAGGGACAGTCAGAGGACACTTAGCATGCCGAATTTGTAACACCTCTTAAACTGATTTATATTTGGCTTTCCCGTAGTCTCTGTTATCAAAGACAAAGGGTCATTTTAGATCGGCAAGAATTCAATCAACTGAAAAAGGTAGTGTACAAGTGAATAAATCAAATCAAATAGGCCAGTGAATGTTGAGTCTCTCTGCTTAGAAGTGAAATCGTGTTTGACAAAAATAGTGTGAGGTACGTTTTATGAATAAAAATACGCTTGGCAAGACTTAAAAAGACAAAACATGAATTGAATCTGTCATCGGTGTAAATTATTTGCTGTCACTTTTCATTAGACTTCACATGAAAGACCTGGTTTGATTTGTAACATTAAAAGGCGTTCAACCTAACTTCCACATTGGGGGTCCGTCACAGTCTTGTTTCTATGGATATGTCAACGCTCTGCTTCAAATGTTCCACAGTATGACATTAAACAGATCTGTCTTGCATTTATTCAGTTGTATGTGGTTTTATTGCTTAAAAATGACAGGGAAAGAACATGTAAACACCACATAAAAGCCTCCACTCAAACCCAGGAGCCTCTTGCTGTGAGGTTGAGTGCTATGGTGCCGCTCATGATACAATATGGAGAAATCACATTTGCATATTTGATACTTGCTGACATAAACTGAAGAGGAAATGTCACAGATACATGTATGTTTTTGATGATGTAAACAGTATTATACAAGCAAGATAAACAAAATTAACATTTAGCTAAAACATATAGGCCCTTGACTTGTCCCTAGACCCTTACCTGTCAAGCCAGGCCAGCAGACTCTTGGCAGCGGTGATGAGGTCGACCACGGAGGTCAAAAGGTCATTGGGCAGCCTCCGGGACGTCCTGCTCTCTGACTGGCTGCTGCGACGCCGACCCGAAATAAAGTTTTGGAGATTTTTGGCCGAAGCTCCGAGTTTGTGAGCAAGAGTCCGCACGCTCTCTGTCTCCAGACCAGAATTCTGAAAAAAAATCAATAGAAAGTAAATAAAAGCCTTAAAGTTTTATCTTCCATTTAAAGGAAACATATTTTGCTTGTGTCTGTTATATTACACTCTATGGCCCCCATGGATCATTATGTTATGATTTGTACAATTTAAAGTACAATATTCATCTAAAACAGACTAATAAAAGAAACACACATGCACGACTCGCATGAGAAAACTGCGGTGCCCCATGGGAACAAACGTCATCATCACAGTGAAGCGCTGTGTAGCTGTCGGCATCTCCAGTGGATAGCTGCACATCACAGGATTCCTACAGGTTTCTTAAATTAGTTAAATTCAAGACTTTTTAAGACCTTTTAAGACCATTTATATAAAAACTTAACACCTATTTCACGGCCTATTTCATAGCCCTACTGGCAAAAAAAAAAAAAATTCTTGAATTTGTGTTCATTTATTTCTCAAACAAAGGAATATGGGGGAGTAGAGACTCTTCCGCATAGCTGCAGTATGAAATGGGTCACTTTTTTTAACGTAAAACCAACGTTAAAAAAACAAGATAGCTTTTTATGCTTTTCTGCTTAGCTTGTTGCTTATGGTGCTGTAGCATGTGATCTTCAGTGACGTGTTTGGAGGATTCTCAATTATTGTTTCTGCCACTCTTTATTTAAGCTACGTTATTTAACCAAATAATGGCGGTTAACAAATTAAACTTTTGAGGAGAAATGTGATATGGAGAAGTTACATACTTCACAAATTTTAATACTTGGATATAAAAATTTAAGACTTTTTCAAGTGTTTTTAAGGTATTATTTCTAAATTCAATGCTTTTAAGGCTTTTTAAAATACTGCGGGAACTCTGCCTCATGCCGATTTTTTTTTTCATTTGTACCAAAATGACTCCGTGATGGTGCCAAATCCTAAGAGTATCACCAATAAAGACAATAAAGTTTGAGAAGGAAGTAAGTCCAGCTGGTAGCGGTGAAAATGGCATCTTGAAAATAAGTGATTAAAAATTGATCAAGACTAATTAAAAGTCGATTTGCTTAATAAGTCTGCTTTAAGGCTACATCTGTCTTTGCAATTCAAGTACAGTTTTAACAGTTTTGTTTTTCTTTGCACTATTCAAAACTTTTAAAATACAGTGACCCACTTCTACTGCAGAGTTTTGTCGTACTTCCTGTCTCCTGCTGCACATTCAACTGTAGGAAGAAACAGCAAGAGGAGCGTACTTCCAACTTTGGGAGAGTGAAAGAAAGCGATATCCCCTGCTGTTTTTGACTATAATCTATTCATAAAAAAATACTGTGCTAAAAATGAAATATATTACAACAATATCAAAAGCATTTCTGTATAATCTTTCAGGCTCTACAGAATGTCACAAAACATAATGCATTTTAACTGCTTTCCAATCTCTCCAATAATTATATAATTAAATACAAATGACTGATTTAAAAGTTAATCCAATTTTTGGCAGACACCATGATTTTCAAGTGAAATGTGTTTAGACTTGTAATTCATTTCCACATTTGACAGTAACATGCTCATTCTTTAATAAAACAAGGCAAAAAAGCGTATTTATCTCGCTAATTGTAACTCCTCTTGTTGTTGCTGTAATTTCAGAAGGAGCACAGGATTTATCTGTCATAGTTTCCACATCACATATTTAATAATGTAGCGTCTGTAAGAGGATTTATTATAGCTTTTAACTTATCCGCGTTGGCATTAGCAGAGTGACAGTGGCGATTTATGTGTGTCTTTGTTAGTCTTGAGCTGTGTATTTTATTCCTTTGGCTGTAAACAAGGTTAATGAGTGTCTACACAGAGTAGTATTAAACAAACAGAGCAAAGAGTCCACTGAAAACATAAAGACCTCCACCCTCAAGAAGCATAGTGACACCATAAACCAGAGGGAGGGGGAAGTATCCTTAATCTGTACAGTGAAATTACTTTGAAATACAATGAGGGAGCACTGTAACTGAAATAGATTTAGTCATGTCAAAGTAAAATTATAATTTAAAGGTGCACTGTGTAACTTTTCAGGTCGACAGTCCACCACCTACCGTAGTTTTTCGGACTATAAGTCGCTCCAGCCAAAAAATGTGTAATGAAGAAGAAAAAAACATATATAAGTCGCACCAAACTATAAGTCTCACTTTTTGGGGGAAATTTACTGTATGAAATTAGAGACCAGGAAACGATATTTCATCTTGAAAGGCAAATTATAGTAATATAACAATAGGATATCGAACAACAGGCTGTTAACGTGACATATTAAGAGTTATTCAGATAACTATAGCACAGACAACATAACAAGTTTGTCCAAACTCTCCATCTCACTCCAAATCACTAAATCCAGTGATTTCTTCATCCTCACTGTCACTTTTGACCAACTCTGCAACATCCGGAGGTAAACAGAGCGCCGCTTCCTCTTTTGTGTAGCTTTTGTCAGACTCAGAATCAGTTCCAGTTAGAATTATTCCGGCCTTTTTGAATCCCGACAGGATGGTTCAGTTGTCAGTAAAGTCCAGGCTTTGTTCCATCCATTCAATGACTTCCACGAAAGTTGCATGGTGCACCCTCCCGGTTACCATGAAGCTGTGTTCTCCATCCCCGTCGTTTCGCCAGTCCTTCACAAGTTTCTCGCTCACTCCAAACATTCTTTCTGCTGCACGATTACCGTTTTCGGCTAAATATTTCACTACTTGCAGCAGGACACATGCAGGAGACATGCGCAATGTTCCAAGTGACAGATGTACAGAAGCAATAGGAGCAGCAGATACTGACACAAAAGCCTTGAGCGCCCTCTCGAGGCTGTCAGTGTGAAAATGTTACCATATAAGCCCCCCGGAGTATAAGTCGCAGGACCACCCAAACCATGAAAAAAAGTGCAACTTACAGTCTGAAAAATATGGTAACTGTCTCCATGGAGATGTAACTGCTTTGCCGGGAATGTCCTACAGTATGCCATAAAACCTAACCTAAAATCTATCTTACGTTAAGTAAATCACAGATATTTTTATTGCTTAAAAATAATTGGCATTGTCCGCAGATCTGACCTGTAATTGGGCCTTGTGCACTGTGTAACTTTTCTCATACCTGCTTGTCTTCTTGGTGATCTCAATGTTTGTCCTTTAATGTTCCACAGTATGGAATTTAACTTCTCGATCTTATTGCGTTTTCAATTACAAATGTTTTTATTGCTTAATACTGAGCAAATATGGCAGCACTTGCTTATTTCTGTAAGTTTAATGCCATACTGTGGAACATTACAGGCAAAGCAATAATGTTACCATGAACTGCTTGAGAAAGAAAAAGCCCGACCAGAGACAGGAGTTGAGAATTAGCAGCAGCTACACAATCTATACGTCGCATCAGCTGCATACTCTGCTCGTGACTATGTACGGCTGCATTGTCCCGGTCAAATAAATAAATAAATAAATAAAATCTATAAAGGGAGGCAGACCAGAAAAGTTACACAACACAGTTTTGAAGATGGTATAAGGAGGATTACATTACTTGCACAAAGCATGTACATTTTCTATAAACATTTGTCTGTTTTAGTGTTTAATGTGGAACCTAAAAAAGCTTTGAAAACCCGTCAGAATAAGATAAACCCTGTAAAAGTTAACCATGGTATTCCCACTCACCAGAGCACAGAGCAGGTCCACGGCCTCCAGGATGAGTTCCTGGTGTCCGATTCGGGAGACTCCCAGTTCCTCGAGCTCGGCGTGGCTGATCCGGAGCAGTCTGTCTCCACTCACCCCTCCCCTCTCAAACACGCCCACGTACTGCTGCAGACAGTCATCCAGACCTGCGAAAAAACACACAAAAACAGGTGAAGTCTTAAGGTTCATGTTACAGGTCAGATCCGTGGAGAGGTGAGCCCGCTTACAACAGGAATCCAGGCTTTACAAGGTATTTTGGAGCACTAAAAAGAGGATAGATATGTTTAATACTGTGGAACATTCCAGGCACAAGCATCTTTAAAGTTCTCAGAGCCAGTTAACCTAATGTTAGCCCCATATTCATGTAAGATGCACTGTAAACCAACATACCAACATTTATTTCAATTAATTTGTTTGATCATAGCAATTACAATAAGAAAAAAGGAAACATACGGCTCAGGAACCAACTCAAAGCTCGATTTATTCATACCTATTACAACCTAATTTCCAGCAGGAGCAACGCACACAATCCTCCATAATCTAATATTTGTATTGTTTCGGTTCACGGCTTATCTGTGTCTGACACCAGAAGATGACTTCCTGTGCTGCCTGCTTATCTTTTTACTGTTTTACAACATAAATCTATGGATTAAACACGTCTTGCAACTAATAACTAAAAGTAACTCGAGATTTCTAGATCAAGCAACTTTATTCTATTTAATTCTACTTACTTAGTTATATTACTGTGCTTCCAAAAACTGATTACAACTTCCCAACACTGGAAGTACAAAGGAATATTTTTATTGTGCATAAAAAGATGACAAATTAACTTTTGTTGCAACTTGACTTGTCCGCAAAGCAAAACATAACACCACTGAAATGTTATTTATAGATTAATCCTAACCCTAGCATAAAATTAAGTCCTTAGAGCAAGAATATTAACTAAAAATCCAATTAGCCTCGTCTCTGTCTTTCTTGTTTCCGTCACGGTCACATTTGCGTAGCTTTATACTGTCGTCCAAACCTGCAAACCACAAAAGCACAGGTTACTGGAGTTACTGATGTGATGCAGACGCAAATTGCCTGAGAAATAAGATCACGACCGCAATAAAACTAAATTGATTTTGTTCATCTGCAGCAGTGGAAGCAAAGCGCTGTGTTTGCTGACAGGGAAATGTGAAATGATTTGGAGCAGTACTTTTTACATTCTATTTGCACTCCTGCCCTCAGAACTATTGCCCCCAAAGCAAGAAACTGAAATCTCCACACATGAATGGTCTCAGAAAAAGTCATCATGTTCCAATTTGTGTCATGGTCCTTGCTTGCTCTGTTATACAATCATAGTCAACCATCTATAGAGCAACAATGTGGATACTAACCAAGATTTTGACAATTTACAAACAAACAAACCAAAAGGTGAGGCACAGTTAGTAATAAAATACCAAATATTGAAACTGTTGTGATTATTTTACACTGCACAATAGCACCCCAAGAGGACCATCTGTGAATCACATCTTTGAAGAGGCAAAATATCAGTTTTTTCCCCATTAATTCACTTTATTTAGTAAGTTGCACTGCCAGTTGCAAGTTGCACTGTAAGTGAGCACTGCCAATGTCATTCGTGCTGTTTTGCATGGCGCTGTTGATCTTTACAGCAAATAGGTTCTTTATCAGGGTGTCAAACATATGGCCCAGGGGCCGGATCCAGCCCCCCAAGACCTTTAATCTGGCCCTCGGCTGATTTTCTACTTAAATATTTTTATTATATTTTCTATTAAAATATTGGTCATTTTCTGCGGTGCTTATCATAGCAGCGTCTCCAGCGCCTCTGTGCGTGGCCCCTCCCACCAGAGCAGCACAAATGGAGACTTGTCTCTATCCAAACACTCTTAAAGGACGATCGTTTTGACTGTTGACCGTGACACCCTCATCAGCAAAATGTCAAAAATGAGAAAAGTGGACGCCGAGTGCAGGATTTTCCAAGAAAAATTTACTTATTTCTATTTGCATACAAGTTAATGTTAAAACATTGTGTTGAAATCTCATTTTTCTTAAAGTTTCAAGTTGTTCATAATATAATATTTTGTAAAAGAAAGAATTCATCAATTAAAAAAGCTTTCTGTAATAGATTTGCTTTTCTCTGCACAAATATTTGAACTTATTGCTGTTTTTGGGGTATATATGCCATGGGTTTTCTGATTCGGCTTCATTGGGATCAAAGTAGGTTGGATACGGCCCTGGGACCAAAATGAGTTTGACACCCCTGTTCTATATGGACTACCAAACCGTTTTGAAGCCTCTTCTAAAACTGAAAACCCAAAACATGCTACATAGGTCTCGAGGAAGAATAGCTGATAGCTAAGGTCAATTAAATACAATCAATCAATTAACCGGCCCAGGGACGACAGGTGGAAATTAGCACTGGTGCTACAACCTGGTACAATGCATCTGAATTGCATGTGTCAATAATATGCTGAATACAAATTAAACTTCAGTGAATATAATCTCCATTCTGCTTTCTCCATTTTCAACCTGGTTTTGTAGGTAAGTTTTCCCCTTCATATACTTGGCAGGCTTTAGTATCTACCATAAAACATGCCATCAAATATTATGCCTTTTATAACAGTAAACAACATAAACCTTGCCTGTATTCGGCTTATTGGCCCCTGGATAGACGAGAGTAATCCTGCAGTACCTTCTTCTCTCCTTCCACCCCTGTGCAGCCAAGCCAGACACTTTAAATCCTGGATCAATGACACTGTATCCCTTGTTAAAACTGCAGCTTTTGGCTCTTAGTCCACAAGCACTTATCAGTTTTCCTTGCCACGTCTCTCCTCTGTCTCTGTCTGTAGAGAGGGACCCTTTTGTCTGCAGAGGTAGAACACAATTCAAGTTTTTACTGCACTGGCTTCCACTTTGGTTCAATATCTTTAAAGGTGCACTGTGTAACTTTTTGGCTGGGGGTACGTCACCTGGTTGTTTCTATGGATATGCCATTGCTCTGCCTAGAATATTCCAAAGTATGACATTAAACATTTCGACTTTACATTTATAAAATTACAAGTGGTTTCACAGCTTAAAAATACCTTGAAAAACAGGCGTTCTGAGTGTGAGCAGGTTGCCTTTTTACAGATCTGACCTGTAACTTGCTCTAGTTTGGCCTCCATGAAAATAGGAAGGTTTAATGCCATACTGTGAAACATTCCAGACAAAGTAATAACATCATCATCAATAACAATGGCAAAAAACATTTGACGGACCCTTCACCAGAAAAGTTAAAACAATACTGCAATGCACCTTGTAGCCCCACATGTGAATTATTAATATCAGCTATATATTTTCTGGCAAAATTATGTACTCAATTTACATATATTTAGGGTGACAACATTTTTAAGATAAAAAACTTAGACACCACCATTTTGTGGTGGTTGGTAATAATAAAACTGTATAAGGAAGTGCATAATAAAAGGTGCACTGTGTAACTTTTCTGGTAGAGGGCTGTCCTTAGCTTCTCTCCATGGTCATGCTGCCTGAAATGTTCCACAATATGGCATTACACATATTTATCTTTATAGAGGCAGCAGGTGATGCCATAGAGCCAAGTTACATGTCAGATCTGTGGAGAGGCAAGCCCACTCGGAGTAAGAATGCAAGTTTTTATGTCAACAAAAATCCATGTTATTGAATAAATGCAAGACTGATGCGTTTAATGCCACACTGGGACATTCAAGACAAAGCAACAACCTCTCCATAGAGACAAGCAGATGGGGGAACCTCTACCAAAAAGGTTAAAAGTGCACCTTTAAAAAAAAAATCTTGTTGAGTATATAATCTGAGGAACTTCAGTGTATCTTTGAGTATTTGGGCTAAATAAATGATAATATATTCCCCCATTTACTGTTGGCTGGTATCAAATTGGTCAAAAGCAGGGACAGCTGGGACCTGTCATACAAAACTGGGGCTGGGACTACATATATTTGCTCTGTGTATTCACTTTGAAAGATATTATTACATTATCATAGGGTGACCAGATTTTGCACATCAAAAACTGGGACACCCGGGTGTTTGAGTGCGGAAATGAGAGCGTACTTATTGTTCCACACTCATCCCATTCATTACTAACATGTGAGTCAGTATAGTCACATTTCCTCTGTGTTTTGGTCATTTTAAAGCAGCTTTTCAGTTTATGCCTCTCTTCACTGTTGGCAGGGATCAAACTGGTTAAAAATAGGGACACCTGGGACATTTCTAGTATAAAACTGGGACAAATCGCTGGTTTTGGATGAATCTGTTGAGACAGGGAACACAGGGCTCAAAACTGGGCCTGTCCTGAGTAAATAGAGGCGTCTGGTCACCTTACAATAACAACAACACAATGCAGAAGCTAAACTTGTAAGCTAAATTATAATTCAATGGGTAAAAACGTGTCAAAATGAAAACTGAATTGAAAACACAGTAACAAACAGCACGTTAGATAGTCAAAAAATAATGCCTACCCTTGTGTACAAAGTGAATTACCTGCCTGAAGTAAACCAAGGACAAAAGCGATTGTTGTTGTGATGGTAGCTCAAAATTAGGCTAACTGCTGCAAATGCTAAAAACACTGATGGCTTTGTAGGAAACTTACCAGCAAATAAAAAAAAAATAGCTATTACATTTTAGGTGGCAATGCTGTAGATACAATTTTATAAACCAGTAAGATAAGCAGTGAAGCAGCTGTAGGCATTTAGGAACCATATTTATAGGATACTGGTTCATCATAAGTAGAACATGAGCAGGTTATTTATTTTTGCGCCAGAGCACCCCTAGTGGTCAATTTATGTACAACAGCCATAGGTTTAAATTGTCATTAGACTATTCCAAATAAACTAGAATTGCTGCAATCCGATAAGTGAAAAAGCCAAACAAACTATTTTAAAGGTGCACTCTGACCAAGAATGTTAAACAGTATGGCATTAAACTATCTGTCGAGACTTAAAACCAGGGGGACAGGGCTTTCTCTGTGCCCCAAACGCCTGAATAGCCCCCAGAGTGGAATGTTTTAAGTCTCGTTTTAAGACCCACTTTTATTCTGTGACTTTTAACACTGCGTGACTTGTGTGGTCCTCTGTGTCTGTCATCCATCCATTCTTCCATCTATCCATCC